AAACAACATAAATTTGTTTTCTCCAGTTCTGGGAGGTATAATCCCAAGATCCAAGTGTCTGCAAGATTGATCTGAGGCCTTTGCCCTGGTTTGCAGATGGCTGCTGGGTCCTCACATGGCCTTTTCTCTGTGCATACACATTCCCACTACCCCTTGCGTGTATCTAAATTTCCCCTTCTTATAAGGACACCAGTGATATTGGATTAGAACCTACCATACGGCCTCACTTCACTTCAGTCAGCTCTTTAAAAACCCCATTTCCAAATACAGCCACATTCTGAGATACTGGAACTTAAGGCTTCACTACACAGACTCAGAAGGATGCGATCCAGTCCCTAAGACGTCATGATGTTCTAGACTTTCACAAGTGAATCTGATCTACACGTTTCTCTGCAAAGGAGTTGAGATTTGAAATGGCTTTTCTATTATTGGAGCTGCCTATGTAAATCAGGGATTATATGGTACTTGTAAATTTTTGTTTTGTTTTGTTTTTCAAGACAGGATTTCTCTGTGTAACAGTCCTGGCTGTCCTAGAACTCACTTTATAGACCACACTGGCCTTGAACTCACTGAGATTTGCCTGCCTCTGCCTCCCAAGTACTGGGATTAAAAGCCTGTGCCACCACCACACAGCTCAGTTGTAATTTTGAAAATTTCCCAGTTAAACTTCTATGACTGAACTTTTCTTTTTTCAATGTATGGGACAAAAGAGTTCTTATTTAGGCCTGGTGGTGGTGTGGTGCATGCCTTTGATTCCAGTACTCAGGAGGCAGAGGTGGGTGGATCTTTGTGACTTCGAGGCCAGCCTGGTCTACAGAGCAAGATCCAGGAAAGGCGCAAAGCTACACAGAGAAACCATGTCTCGGGGGGGAAAAAAAAGAAAAAAGAAAGTTCTTATTTACATTTAGATTTCTTTAGTGTTTGTTTATTTCTTATTTATTTATTTATTTTGGATTTTTCAAGACAGGATTTCTCTCTATGTAGCCCTGGCTGTCCTTTAACTTGCTCTGTAAACCAAGCTGGCCTCAAACTCACAGAGATCTGCTTGCCTCTGCCTCCCAAGTTCTGGGATTAAAGGCATTCACTACCACCGCCCGGCTTCCTTTTTTTTTTTAAGCATTAGAGATTGGACCCAGGGTCTCACATGTTAGGCAAGTTCTCTACCATTGAACTACATCCTCAACCTTCAAATTCTCTGGTTCTTACCATCCTAACTGTGACATTTTATACTTTTTCAGATTTTATGCAGATTTCAACTGTCTTCACATTATACTTTGTGTTGACATGGAATTCATCTGTGAATATGGTGTTAAGATTGGGATTTAATTTTATGTTCCCCCTTAGTGATACCTCTTTCCTATCATTATCTAAGTAACTTCCCATTTCTTTCAGTAATTAATAAAGCCCCTTATATATAAAATTTCTACATAGAAACCAAAAGATGCTTATTTTAATTTTGCCTAAATTTTATTGTCTTTTTCCCAAGTCAAACCTATAAAATACTAAAAATTAATTTTACCATATACATTTGCTATTCACAACATCCCAAATTGTATTCTTCATTTTGGGTTGGTTAGGTTGAGTTGGGTTGGTTAAGACAGAGTCTTGCTCTACAGCCCAAGCTGGCTTTGAACTCATGATCCCACCTCAGCCTTTTGTGTCTGTTTCTTAAGAGAACAGGCAGAGACTAGAAAAGGTTATTTGTAAACCAACAGTCATATAATTCTGAACAGCACGCTGAGACTTCTGACACCATACTCTGTGCTTACGCTCAACCTCTCTACTGCCTAAGCAGCAGGTATCCTTGTACCTAATTTCATTTCATAGTGTGTGATCATGTAACACCCACTCTGTTCCAGACATTATCATAGGCTCTGTGTTTGGAGAGCCCCTGAGAAGAGGCCCATGGAAATTCTCCAAACTCTACTGAGAGTGGATCAAAATGGCCAAATCAAACAAGAAACCTGGAGTCACCGAGACTGTGCCTCCGCCTTGGAGCAATTCCAACTTTTCCCCTGCTCTGCCAGAAACACGGCGTCTGCCCTCTTCTCTGACATGGGACACCTCTGTTGACCTTTGAACTAAGTTAACAACATACCCAATACTGTCTAATCTAAATCCCGGTTGCAATAACAAACCTGGTTCAGGACGGCCTTTGTGAAATGGAAAGCAGGTGTTTCCCATCACTAAAGCGCTTTACAGAGAGCCTCGTTCTCATTTTAAATGTTTTAAGGGTTTCTCAGCCCTGTTTCAGGGTACAAACCCTGTGATGAGAGTGTTTCTGACCATCTGAATCACAATGACATTGTCAAATTTCCTAAGGATTAAAAGCACTCAGTTTGATATCCAAGATTTCAAAGGTGGTTAAATAAGAAATGAAATGGCCGGGCGGTGGTGGCGCATGCCTTTAATCCCAGCACTCGGGAGGCAGAGCCAGGCGGATCTCTGTGAGTTCGAGGCCGGCCTGGGCTACAGAGTGAGATCCAGGAAAGGCGCAAAGCTACACAGAGAAACCCTGTCTCGAAAAACCAAAAAAAAAAAAAAAAATGAAATGAAGTTTTCTGGGACTGTGCCAACATCTGGACTTGACAGGTAGACTGTTATCACGAGCATTGGTAGGTGGTTCCTTTCGCTGTTGGGACTCAACTGATATGGGATTGCCTTCTTCTAGGATAAAGTGGGATTGTTTCACTCCTCAAGGACAGGAGAATCTCTCAAAGTATTGTTGCTCATGTGCCAAGAGGCTCTCATGAAGACCATTTAAAAAACAAAGGTTTGTGTCCAAATCAGCCACAAACGAGCCTGTGACTTCTCCTACCATCATAGCCATTGGGCAGCAGTTCCCAGCTGACTGCCTCGGTCTTCTGAGCCAATGGCTGGTGCTGCACCTGGCATGGGACTGGATCCTCCTGAAGCTGCTTCTGAAATTGCTTTGATGTTTCAGATCAAAGGTAGTAAGAAGGTCAGCCTATTCTCTGAACCCAAGATTAGGATAAATATGGCACTGGACCAGATGAACACTCTGTACAAATAAGAGCACCAATCTGTAGCATGCACTGTGTACCACAGGAGCTCACGCTATGGGATGACCAGATTTATGACCAAGATGATGCTGATATGGTGGTGGCTGGAGTTTTGGAATTTTGCATTAATCCTTCGTCTCTTGTGTGATTCTCCAGCCTGGGCACTTAGCATACTCAGATCATAATTGACTTGTCCATTTCCTCTAAAGATGACTTTGTAACGAGAAAACGTGCCACTGCGCTATTGCTGGAAGAACATGAATGTGCAGTTCAAGGAAAGGCCTGGATTAATGGAAGTCTGGGGCTATGCACCTTCAGTTGATGCTGGTCACGTAACTGGCCCTGATCCTGAAGGGCAAGATACCTTAACATGCCACCATGCTACTGTGGAAGACACCATAGTACAATGTGAAGAGCTATCCTAAACCACCGTACACACTGTCCATGCCTCTGGGAGCTGTTGCAGCAAATAAGTCATCAAGCATCTCTTTAGGGACCACTCATACATATCCTTGCCGTTCCTTCAAGGTAAGAACCTCAAGGCATTGGTCGGCAGCTTATAGGGGTGTCCATGGCTGCTTTTACTGCACAAATGTGTTTTTGAAAACTACTGCCAACTTTAAACCTGGATTGAACAGACTCAGGATTTGTTATCAATTATGGTTGCGCTTTTAAGTATGAAGATACATGCCTGTAATTGTAGCACTTGGAGACTGGGGAAGAGGATCTCTTGTTCGAAGGCAACCTGTGTCACAGAATGAGTTCTAAGTCAGCCTGGGCTATACAGGGAGACAAACAACAAAAATCAATTATAGACACAGGAGAGTAAATTGAGGAACAATCTATTGGGCTCACCATTCACCTTTGTTTTTGGTGGTATTAACGTAACACTATATTCCTGGCATGTAAAGTAAGTCAATTGTAACTATCTTGTTAATGTTTTTAAAAATGTTTTTAAAGTGTTTTAACATTTAAGACTAGAGATAAAGTCAAATTTATATAATCTACCTAAACTTAAAGTCCTGGGATACATACTGAGCAGTGAGTTCAAGACCAGCTTAGGAGATACACCAAGACCCTATCTTTAACTTAAAAAAAAAAATGAACATGAATAAACAATTTGTATACTAAAATTTGACTACAAGACTGAATAATTTAAATGGCACCTTGGTTTATCCCCTGCCTCCAGGGGAGAGCAATTAATTTCTGGTAATCAGATGGCAATATCCAATTTCCTTTTTCTATCCAGCCACTGGGCTTTCCGTTGGGCCTGAGGGAATCCTGAACAGAAGCAGATTCCCCCGCCTCCCCTGTTGCTGTGTGACTCAGACAGCTGTCAGTCAGCCCGGAGAAAGCTCCTCCTTCTCTCACCTTCCCATTGCTGGAAGGGGACCTGGAGGGAGACACCCTGGGCTGTGGGGATGAACAGATCACACTATGGGGAGCTCAGCGAAAAACCACGGGTCTGATCCTCTCTTGTCCCAGCAGGACTCCAGTGCAGTAGAGAAATCAGCTCCGCCCAGTTTATGACACTGTCATCTGAGCCCATACAAACAAATTTATGTGCTCACAACTGTCCTCTGATGTCCCACCACCTCCCTGTTCTTAAAAACGTCCACCTTCAGCCGGGTGGCGGTGGCACTCTCCTTTAATCCCAGCACTCGGGAGGCAGAGCCAAGTGGATCTCTGTGAGTTCGAGGCCAGCCTGGTCTACAAAGTGAGTTCCAAGATAGCCAAGGCTGTTATACAAAGAAACCCTGTTTCGAATAGAAAAAAAAAAAAAAGAGTCCACCCCAGGTCTTCTTGCTGCAATTCAGATAACGTTTCTTCCCATCCATTACTGAAAGAAGTTGTCCACTTCCTGCTAACAATGACCATCAAATAGAGAATATATCTTATATTAAAGTAATTATGTATGAAGTCCAACATCTGGGCAGCCATATTGTTTCCAATTTTAAGAAATGAGTTACCAGACAATTAAGAGTTGTATAGTTTTTATTATTTTACTATTAAACTTTTTTTAAATCTTGAAATGGGTTAATCTTAAAGTAAAAACTAGTCATATATTTGTCTTTATACATTATATACACTTAAGAAATAAATAGTGGTCTAAGCATTTTTAAAAAAGCATCAGATATACAAACATGACTTCAAGTCAAATAGATAAACACACAACTCACAGAGGATTCAGTTCTCCACACTTCCATCACTAAACACAGGAGCTGGAAGCCACCAGGATGCTTGGCCAATAACAAGCTCCACTTTGGCAAGAAAGCAATTGCAGTAGCACCCCATGGCTAGAGAGAGCACTCCGAGTTAAGGTTCGACTGTTTCTGTTATGTCTTCAAGAGTTTGGCATTAAACAGCGATACAAATTTGGTGGAGTACGAAGAATGTGCATTAAAACTGAATACAGAGAGTGATTGCTCTCTCACCCCAGCTGACAGCTCACCCATAAAAACTCAACCCCTTCCTCGGGTGTTCTGATTGTTTATTAATGAAAGGGTTTGGATTTTATGGATAGCTATGAAAAATAATTCACTGCTTATCACATCAGGAACAGACTGATGGGAAATAGTCACAGACATCTTCATGGAGCTGCAGAAAGGCTTTCCTGAACTTTGCCTTCAGGAAACCTCACTGGGTCCTCAGCATGGCCCCACCACCACCTTGATACATCTATGTCTAAGCAGGTGGCTGAATTTCCCTAAGCCTTGATTTCAGAAGACAAGAATAATAACAGCTGTCCTGCTCCTTGCACTCTGATTAGGTGACGCACGTGCAAGCTGTCTAGAGACTGCAGAAGGGTGTCTCGGGTGTCACATTTATTGGTTCACATTAAGATCTAGAACAGGAGGCTTCTTTCCAGGAGCTTAACGCAGAGACGGCACTGATATAAAAGCAAGCTATTACATAGAAGACACATCAAACCTTAATGCAAGCTCTGTCCGTGGCAGCTGGTTTCTGCACAGCAGGTATGTAGAACACACACACTACTGTCAAGCTCCCTAAACAGCAGAGACTTTGCTCCACCCCTGGGGCCACCATGCATGATTTTCTGCTTACTGCTCTAATAGTGATCAAGCACGGCCCTTAGAGAAAATGACACATGAAAACCTCAGAGCCCCAGCCAGCCCTTTCAGCCTGTAGCTCTCCCCTCAGCCCTGTCTGTCTTTAAGCACACACATACTCATGAGCCAGTGAACCTGAGGGAGAGATCCTGATCCCATCGGCTCCAAACGCAAAGGTTGAGTCGTGTGTCTATTTCCCTGTGCTAAATAGTTGAAGTGCCCAATGAACGTTTGCTTAATCCAAGTATGAATGATGCAAAAAGAGAAATGCCAACAGTGTGAGTTTCAGAAGATGAGCTAGGAAGCATGATGGAATACCCAAGATAGAACCAGGATCCATCAGTCTGGGAGAACAGTAGGGCATTAGCATCAGCCTGATCTATTTTGTCCCTTCTCTAGGTAACAGGTCTGTCGCTGTGGTATATGAGTCAGCTCTTGAGGGAAAGACTTGTCACTAAGGTTCAGTGAGGCCAAGCATCTGCCAGCCTTCCACACAGAGCCACTTCAGAGCCTGTGTTCCCTGCGGTTGGTCAAAGCCAGGGCTCACCTAGCAACAGTAAGAGTGGCCCAGAGTGCACCAGGGCTCTGGACATTCCAGTGCTCACACAGCTTCCTGAGGGGTCAAGAGAAGTCTGGAGTTAGAGTCATCAGCTGGAACTTCAGCAGGGCACAGGCCTGTCTGGGAGAAGTCACAGTTGTCAGTGGAAACAAGGTGAGCCCAGCAAGTAAATCCTCCCGGGGCTCCAGCATCAAGGCTGAGGTCTTCCATCAAGTGAGTCTTCAGCGGTAACTTTCCTCCATGTGCGTGGACAGTGGGGTGTGGGTGGATTCGGGCTTCAGGACTTCCTGGGCCCTCAGGCCAGCTCCACAAAAGGACTGGAAGGAACCACGTGAATATGGTGTTAGCTCACTCGCCAGCCAATGGACAAAGCCGTACCAAGGTATATCTATTGAGACGTGAACCAAGACTGAGTGTTCTGCACATGGACAAGCCATGTTACTGATTTGCCTCTAGGAACAATGGAAAGATCCCCTATGAGAAGCACCCGTGGGAGCCTGTCTGGGCTGGTAGGTACACTTGTCACACTCAATGCATTCATGTGCTTTGCCCAACACAAACACACAAGTGAGGAGGACTATCAAGCGTCTTTGCCTTTATCTAGAAGTACACCAGATCCTCCTCTGGCAGGAAGGGGACAATTGGGTCAAGAGACCGGAATCCTGTTCTCAACTACAGGAGCTCTCTGAACTTCAGTCTCCTTATTGGTGAACAGGTTCATGCCAGAAGAGAGAAGCCTGATGGCACTGCATGGCTCTAAGGATGCCATGACTTCCTTGTGTCCCTTTATTACTTGGATTCCTATTGTTTTCTGTGCCTTAGAGGGGAAATGAGGGGCTGACTTGTTTCCCAAAAAGAAAAAATATGAGCCAAGTTACATAAATTAGAACATTCTAGAACAGAAAAAGAAGCGCCTCATCCCTTACGTAATTCCTTCCAGGGTATGCAATCTATCAATGAAATTAATGTACACAGGAGCACTTTGAAAGAGGTAAATTTAAATACAAACAAAAAGAATTAAGATAATGATAGAGGAAGATCAAATGAGCCTGCACTTAATGGAGGGGGGCAGTCTTCAGACCTCACAAGTCTGTGATTACTAAGCTTGGGGTCTGCTGATGTTCCTTAACAGAAGCCAAGTCAGCTGGGGGTGCAGTCAGGCCCACTGGGTGGGCAGACGTTTAATCACAGGGGATCCCTGCAAACAGCTTGCTCGATAATCAGTACCTAAACAGAGGCGGGGTGCTTCATCTGAGCAGGTGCAACGTCTCTACTGCAAGGAGCAGGCTTTAACGCAAAACGACCCATCATCACCCACTAGGGAATCCTGGGAAAGAGACTTCACTGTCCCACGCCTCAGTTTTCTCCATGTCCACAGGGACAGTAACGCCTGCCTCCTGAGATTGTCGATAAGTCTGTAAGCCACTGGGTGCAGGTGGGCACATACTGCACACCCAGCATTCCCCAGCAGGACTATCAGCCAGTCCTCTGCTGAAGACAAGGGGCAGGAGGGGAGAGCGGCTAAAGAGACAGCCTGCTGCATCCTAAAAAGGTGCTTTGGCTTAGATGGCATAAGACGGGCTCCACCGAGGATCCCATTGCCACACACCATGACCTGGGCCTTCCTCCACCTGAAACCATGTAGTTCCACACCTAGCAATGTGATACCCCACAAGACAGTCAGCCTCGATGTCATCTCACTTGGCTGTACACACAAGCCATCTGTACCTCACAGTGGGGACAACTAGGGGCACTAACCTTTGCTCATACCAACCTGGTTTCCAGAAAATCTAATAAAAATCTAACTATCTTGCCTCCCACCCTACTGCCTACTGCAGCCCGGGGGCAGAAGGAATCTGGGAAACTAGACTTCGCCCCAGCCCTGCTCACTACGGAGGAAGCACCAACCTAAGATGAGGGGAAACAGACAGCGATGCTGGGGGCTATGAACACGCACAGTGAGCGCCTCTAGGCGAGACAGAGCACGGGACAGAGGGACATGCACGTCCCCTAATATTTTCACGTAGGTGCTTGTCTCCCACCCTCCACCAGGTGGGTTTTGTTAATGAGGGATGTCACTGGCCATTTGCGTGTTACCTGGTTTCATTTTTCATTCTCCAGCCATCCCGACACTTGTGAAACCACAGCTCTTGGCCAGGAGAGATGCCAGTCTTCTTAGGGTCTTGGGCACAAAACATCATTCTAAGAGAAAAAGAAACCACTGTTGTATCCAAAACTCTAGACAGTGCTTTCTGGATTCAACATAAATGGGAAAGGGAAAGAGAAACTTCCAGCATGTTATATCCACTCCAGAGCCTTCAGAACTGCCCATACCTGATGCAGGACTGCCCATCCCTGATGCAGGACTGCCTGTCCCTGATGCAGGACTGACCATCTCTGATGCAGGACTGCAGCATGTACCTTGCTTTATGATGCAATCTTACGCAGCCTCGATCACACATTTCCTGCTTTTCTTCTCTATCTTCCCAAAAGGCTGCCTGCCATTTGGGGCCATGACCTCTTGGAAGCTCCCATCCCTGCCAAAGCCCCCATGAAGCTGACCACCCTGGACCTTAGCACAAAGGCGTATCTTTATGTGAATGTTACTTTGGTAATTGTCGTTGCTTACAACATGAACTTTAAAATGAAGGTTTTGTTCTACTTTACAATAGGCTATGCTGCTGGAAACTGTTTGGGGGGTTTTGAGATCAAGGGTCAGCCTCACCACCATGCTCAAGGTCCCTATAAGACACTACTGTGAACTATCCATTGACAAGAGTTCTTGGAACTCAACTACAAGTCAAAAATCAAAGGTTTGGGCTGGAGAGACAACTCAGCAGTTAACAGTACAAACTGCACATGCAGAGGCCCAGAACTCTGTTCTCAGCACCCAGGCCAAACGGCTCACCACCACCTATAACTCCAGCTCCAGAGAACCAGATATCCTCTTCTGTGGGTACCTGCACTCAGGTATACCTACGTATACACACACACACACACACACACACACACATACACACACACACACACACTTTAAAGTTTTTAAATTAAATCTTTAAAAAAAACAAAAAAGGTTCAGTTCATGGACAACCAAAAGCATAGGAAGAATCAAAGGCCTGCTAATCACCATTTCACAATAGTTTGTGGGAAGCAATAGCTTGTGGCTGTACCACACAGCCTTGGTGACGTGATTGCCACACTGATGGCCAACACTGTGGAGGACACCTCACCCCGATGCCGAGGCAGGGAAAAAGTCATATTCTAGACCTTTCCTGGGGAGTTTAAGCACCTTCGGACCTACATGTTTATAAACCTGCAAAAAGATAGCTTACCTCACTCACAATCAGAAAACACAAATTCACACAGTGCCAGACGGCCTGCTGCCACCCGAATGGCAGCAGTGTCCCACCGTGGGACAGGAAGCAAAAGAGGGAAACCATGGTGCTAGGGCAGAGAAGGAAAACTAGTCCAACCACTCCGGAGAGTTAACCATCAACAGACTACAGCTAAAGTTAGCGGATACATTTCACAGACATCTGGATGTTCAAAAGCAGCTCATGAAGCAGTGTGCCCAGTCATGGGAAATCTAGACGCATCTAAAACAATCCTGCATACTGCTAATGGGTTTAAACAAAGGTGCTAACAGGCATAGAAACATAAAGGAAGGAAGCACATTCCCATTAGTTAATTAATGCAAAGTTTTCATTCTGTCTGGTTTGGAAGAAGGGAAGCTGTGGGCAGAGGAAGGACACAGAGCTGATTGCAAATGCTTCCCTGATCTTTGGCTTTTGAAACCTATCGGAACACAGTTGGGGAAATTGCTTATATTTGTTAAGTCTCAATGGTGATTTAACGAGTGTTCACTACATCTGAGATATTTTATAATGAGGATTGTGTTTCTGCTATCACACCTCTCGGCTCAGGCTGCAGTTAGGAGAGCAGGGGAGTAACACAGGTACAATTACAGAGATCACAGACTAGGTTCTAACAGTTCCTCGATAGAAAAATCCCCAAGTCACAGGTTCCTAGACTAGATACTCTAGGAAAAGTTCCAAAGTGTCAATTCACTCCCACTGCTGCCAGCCTGGCCACGGGCAGTAGACACAAACAAGCCACAGGAAGAATTATCATGGGGACAAATGTCAGCGGAAAAGACAGAAAGGTTGAGGGCTGCTTCGTCCCGCTGATGGTGGTCACTGCAGAGGTCCAGGAAGAAAACACTCCCCTCGTGAGGAAGGCCTCCAGAGCCTCACTGGCTTTGAGCCCTCCTTGGCAGAGTTAGGGCACAGTAACAAGAGTTGATCTATAAAGGTCTGGATCTCCCAGTTTGGGGTTCAAAGGAATGAAAGGCTGCCAGCTGGCAGAGCATGGGGAGCTCTTGGCTGGTGGAAGCCACAACCCCAACTGAACAGCATGATTCAGAGCCGCTGGAGGAGACAGTGCTCTGAGAAGTGGGCTCTGGAAGGGTAGTCTTGTGGAAGGCTTCACCTGTGCGTCCAGATGCTCCAACTTGCCCCTCAACACAGCACACGCAGAGATCTGCGTCCAGGGGAAAGACCTCTTCCTCTGGGCCAGTACAAGACTTGGCAAACAGAACAAGCACTGAACTGCACACAGTCCCTTCCCACCCCTCCCCAGAGGGCTGTGGTCAGGACGTAAGATGGACATACCACAGTTTCCAGAAGTCTGGGAGTAACAGTCCTTGCAAAAATAGTTGAAGTTTAGCTGGTGGCAGAGGGCTCTGGATATTACTCATACAAAGGAAGAAACGCAGAAGGACCTTGTACCCGCCTCTCACAAAGACCAAGAAGGAAAGGAACACTTACTTTCTCTGCGTTTCCCCAGACTTGACACGAATTCTTCGGATGTGCAGCTCCCTTGAGGGGTTGCTGGGTTGAGACAGGTAGCTGCGAAACTCATTCCACAGGTTGTACCAGGAATGAGATACCCCCTCCCAGGCAAGTCTGATCTTCAAGAGATCACCCAAGTCCTCCTCAGTGTAGACCAGGAAGGTGTTGGTGGCATTCAGCTCGATCTTCTCCACTCTGCAAGGTGAGAGAGAAGCTCATCTCATTCCCCTCCCACCTCGGGAAACTGGCACAATCCGCCCACCTCATGCCCTCCATATCCCCACTTCAAAGGACCACCCAGGAAGCTGAGTTGTGCTCTACGCTGACAGATAACTTTGCCCAAAGCGCCTAACTTCTTATCAAAACCATTCCTGAGCAGCTATCCCTCTGTGCCACTAATTCCTAAGAGACAGTGCCAAGGAAGAGCAGAAAAGAGAAGACACAAATTCACCTTCCCGACACAAGCATGCTTGCCGATGCTCAGCCCGGAGGCGGCAGTCTCCCTTCCTCCCTCCCTTCTTCCTTCCCCTCTTCCTGCCTCCTCTCCCATCCCTGCCTTGCCCATCATGCTAGCAATTGTGGATGTTCAATCCTTGTCTCCCAGCAAGACCTTGAGCCCATACAAGCATGCCTCCAGTGGCCTTCTTCTTTCTCCCTCCCTTCCTTTTCTATTCCTTATCATCTGTTTGTTGACAGGATCTCACTGCATTTCTCAGGCTGTCCCAGAACTCACAATTCTCCTGCCACAGCCTCCCCAAGTGCTGGGATCCAGGCTGCACCGCCACACCTGACTCTGATTTTTCTGTCATTTCACCATGACAACATCACTTGGCAGGATGCTTTGTGCCTGGTGGGAACTCAACAAACCTCTCCAGACCTCCATGCACCCCTCCCACAGATGATCACTACAGAAGTTCCAGGGATGACGTTCGTCGAGTTCCCGAGTCCCTAAAGCCTCGGGTGTCAGGCGTTGCCTGAGATGAAACAGCCGTTTCTGTGCAGCTGATCCAGCAGTTTCGCATGCAGCTGATTCATCTTGGGAGCTTCCCTCCCTGAAACCCTCTGAGTCAAGGACTTGAAGGAGAACACACAGCAGAAGAGAGGAAAGAGGAGATATAGATGCCAGCTAGAACCACCCAGCTCCTCCCCTGGGCAAGCCGACCTGACTCTCCCATACTTCTTCCTCACTCTCTCATTCTCAGACTACCTAGTTCTCCATCCTGAACCAGAGTTGCAAAGAATGTTCACACTTACACTTCCAAAGGCAGATTCGGGGAGTCTGCGTTACTGCCGTACAGGGTCATGTAGAAGGTGGGCTGGATGTCTCCACTGTTCTTGTAGCTGAAGATGTGGACTTTCATCTGATAATGGTAAACTGTATGGACAACAGAACAAAGACCTTTGTGAGCCTTGCTTGTCATCTCAAAAGTCACACAGCACACTGGATTTTAGAAACAAAAATCCTGTTGGACCCATCTAGCCTTAGCTGGGCTCTGGTCTTATTCTACCTGAGAGCATGGGAAATCAATGAAGAAGTGCCCTGAACCTGGGGGTGGGGGCCAGATGTTTGGGGACTTGGGACTATTTATTTTCTACTGTGTGACACTAGATGAAGGACCAAGGTATAGACCTCTCTGGGTCTCAAGGTCTTCATACATAAAATACTGTCTCACAAAATATCATAAACAGGTTATAGAAGTAAACACCACTGCTTCTGTCTTCTGTGCAATTTGCTTCCCAGCTGTTGAACATGAGCAGAGTACGCTGAGATATTGATACCGATATTTATGGGGTAGTATTCGCATCACAAAAGGGGTCCTTACCCTGGATTTCTAAAGGAACCACTTTACTAGGGCACGCACAACGTGATCTGATTTTTAATAACTTGCTACATAGACCACAGGTCCTGGGCTGCTACATGGCCTATTCTGCAAGAAAGTATAAAGGAAGGAAAAGACCAAGGGGCACCTGGGAGCCTGAAGGTCAGTTACCTCTGAAAGGCATGCCAGCCCGGGTTTTTAAGTACATTTTGCTATTCCTCTTCTTCCTCATCTTCTTAGCATTGTAGCCAATGTTATTGCAACGGTTCTTCCGGCAGCTCAGACAGATCCCCTTTTTGAAGCGGTTAGGGTCTGTGCATTGGAAGGCAAAGCTCGGCTTGTCCTGATTCAGCAGAGAATCAACAAAGAGGTCTACGGCTCGCTCGTGCTCACACTTCGCCGCCTCTGTGATTGCTGGGGAAACAGGGAGACAGAGAACACACGGGGATGAACCACTTCCGGATGATCCCACCACTCAGTCAGTAGTCGCTGTATACCTCATCCGGGATAGGTTTATTGAGGCTGGTGGTGTGTGATTATTAACATAGGCTCAGTGGCATTCCAAGCTCTTATTAACACACCGAGGAATTTAAGACCATTCCGGCCGTCTAACTGTCTACTCTGTAAGGGAAGGCAATGCTAATATACTCAGAGAATTGGAGAAAAGAGAGTTCATACACTAAGAGTAAAATAGATGGCCAGGAGTGGTGGCACACACCTTTACTGCCAGCATTCCCAGGCAGAGATAGAAGGACCTCTGTGAGTTCGAGGCCAGCCTATTCTACATAGCAAACTCCAGTACGGCAGAGACTAGAGAGAGAGACCCTGCCTCAAAAAATGAAAAAAAGAAAAGAAAAAAGAGTAAAATAGAGTGTGAAAGGGCAGCCGTGTGGTAGAGTCACTAAGTCCTAACATTTATCTGGGTAGAAACACCAGAAATGAAAGCTGGGCATGATGGCACATGTCTTTAATCCCAGCACTCAGGAGGCAGTGGGAGGCAGAACTCTGTAAGTTCAAGTCCAGCCTGGTTTACATATCAAGTTCCAGGCCAGCTGGAGCTACATAGTGAGATCCTGTCTCAAGAAAAAAAAATTGGGTTGGGTGGCAGTGGCGCACCCCTTTAATCCCAGCACTTGGGAGGCAGAGTTCAAGGCTAGCCTGGTCTACAGAGTGAGATCCAGGACAGGCACCAAAACCTACACAGAGAAACCCTGTCTGGAAAAACAAAATAATCAATAACAATTGTGACTTGAAAGCATGAGCAAGCAGGTGAATGCTAACAGGCAAGTTGTATGACTCAGCATACAACTTCTGTGGGAAGAGATACGAATGATGAATTGAACTGTGTTGGTTGTATTCACAGTTCTGGCTGACTTAGAGGATGGAGAGAGTGAGTCAGACACAAGGCAGATCAAGTACAAACTCACTTCCATATGCAATAGATCCCAAAACATCATTGAATCCACAGCCCGGCTGGAAGTCACCACCGTTGGGATAGATGTCAATGTGACCCACGGGCATCCGAATTCCAATGCTCAAGCCGAAGGAGAGAGTGTAGGTGTGCAGGACATCCACAAAGTCTGCGTCATCAGGAGAGAGCCGCTTGTGGAAATCCGCCCCTTCAAACATGGGTCCTGCAGGATCCAGACCTGCAGCAAAGAAAGGCAAGGTAGGCTTAGTGAGAAGCATCAAGGCATTGAGTCTTGACTTAGAGTCCAAGTATGGAGTATGCGAAATGAAGATGCTCTCTGAGCCCAGCAGCCAAATCCAGATACTGGAAATAAAAAATACGGAATCCCTATGTGGTTGACCCAAGATGTCATCACTAAAATTAAGTCCTATAATCACAGAATCAGCATGTTTTTTTTCTGAAGCCCCTGTGCCTCAGCCAGCCCAGTATACTGACCACAAGATTTACCCTGCTGTCAGCCCTGGGGAACCACAGGAGTGAGAACTAAAGCAGTTCTAGAATAAACTCGGCTCCTGACCTAAGTCATACATCCCAGTCATCGCCCCTAGGCACCTTCCACAGAAGAACTCTATTTGCCCCAAACTGGATGGTTTATATTTGGACTCATACTTCCCCTGCCTTTAATTATGAGTCAGGCCAGGGCCCAGGCCCAGGTACAGATGAGAAAGGCATCTCTGATCTCAACATGGTGTGAACCCACACTCCAGACTTCACCATGCCTTCTGTTTTGCAGCCACAGTGAGAAAGACTTTCCGCCTCCCCACCTTCCGTGCTGAACCTGAAAGCTGGTTCTCCCACTCTGGACTGCTCAGATCATATGAAGGAGCGTGTTATAAACTTGGATTCCACCAGGTAGCTCTAAAACACACTGAAAGGACTCCCAAGCTAGGAATCATCTTCGTGCGGATGCATCAGGAGAGCAGGTGGGGAGGGAACTGGTCAAGTATACATAGCAGTGTGAGACTTAACATTGTCTATTCATTCTGGACTATACAAATATGAAAACATTGTTTTAAAGAAAGAAATAATGAACAGGCCCTCAAAGCATAAGTATAGATTTCTGAGTCCCTGGCCCCCGGGGCTGGCACACACACAAAAATGTAGATTGGTTCTCCAAGGGATCCTATAAGTCAGTGGCTTGTGGACCAGACATTGACACTTTTTCCTATTCTTCAGGATCATATATGAAGTGTAACCTCAGGCCTCAATTCATTTGTGTGAAAAATTAAGAGATTAAGAATTTGTCGCCGGGCGGTGGTGGCTCACGCCTTTGATCCCAGCACTCGGGAGGCAGAGCCAGGCGGATCTCTGTGAGTTCGAGGCCAGCCTGGTCTCCAAAGCGAGTTCCAGGAAAGGCGCAAAGCTACACAGAGAAACCCTGTCTCGAAAAACCAAAAAAAAAAAAAAAAAAAAAAGAATTTGTCTATATTTATTATCAAGCTATAATTATACAAACTGGATTTATCCCAACCAGGAAGGCTCTTTGCTCTACCGACACACAAAAAGGATATAGAAAGAGTTAAGAAATAAGATGTAGGGGCTGCAGAGATGGCTCAGAGGTTGAGAACACTGGCTGCTCTCCCAGAAGACCTGGGTTCAATTCCCAGCACCCACATGGCAGCTCACAACTATCTGTAACTCCAGTTCTGGGGATCCAACACCCTCACACAGACATACATGCAGTTAAAACATCAATGCCCAGAAAAATTAAAAATAAATAAATTATTTTTAAAAAAGAAAAGAAATAAGATGTACACAGGATGGGCCCTGTTTTGTCTAAGACAAATGTTGGGCACTGAGAGTGTTTAGGTCCTCAAGACACATTTGGTGATTTGGGGAGAAATTTTTGTTTATGGCACTTGTGAGTAAGAGAACTAACAGCATCTACTGAGAACAGGCCAGAAATACAGCTAAACATCCTAAAATGTGTCACATGGCCCTGACACACACACACACACACACACACACACACACACACACACACACACACACACCTCAAATCCCCACGGACCCACATAATGTCACTTCCCAGACTGAGAGACCCCCAGTCTAGAGACACCAAGGCCTGGAGGCAATATGGCCAAGAACTATGTCATTTTGTTGTGTTTTGTTTATTTTGTTTTGAATTGTTGAGACAAGGGCCTGGGGAGCTGGCAGAATGCTAATCGGTGCCACATGCAGCAGCCCTCGTGTCTCAAAAGCAGGCCCTTCCCTCCAACCTCTCTGTGGAGCAGGGGCCTGAGTCTGTCCAGTTGCATGTCCCACACTGTTCTAGAACTCACAATGTAAACCACACTGGTCTTGAACTTAGAGATCCCTGTTTCTGCTGGGATTAAAGCAAACGTCACACTACCCGGCAAGTCTGTGTCTTAGAAGGAGGCAATAGGTAACAGAACCATGTTCCCCAGATGCTGCACCAAGAAGCAGTGAGTTCGCAGCGATGCACGTGAGAGGGTAACTTTAGGACAAAGGCAGCAGCTTTACGTGTTGAGTGGATAAACCAGAGCTTATTACCCCTGGAAACAGGTGGAGGCTAAAACCAGAAAGTTACAGAAGTTTGGATGATTTTATGGGTGACCATGGCAGAAAGGGATCCCGGGCTACTTAGGGCTCAACCCTAACCAGGACTAAAAGAAAGATGGCATGATAGTGTGCCCTTCCAGAATAGCCCACAATGACCTACTGGAGAGACTGCAAGAGCCATAGTATGACATAGAGGCGTCCCCCTGCCTCTCACCATGTGCACTGAAGAGGAAAAGAGAGAAGAAGAAGAAGAAGAAGAAGAAGAAGAAGAAGAAGAAGAAGAAGAAGAAGAAGAAGAAGAAGAAGAAGAAGAAGAAGAAGAAGGGAACGCTATGCTTTGCACCCAATACAAGAGAGGGGCTCTGTGCTGGGTACAAACAAAGGTCCCCACCAGACGGGCAGCTCCATGGAAACAGAGCTGTTCTGGAGGAATGCCGCCAGCTGAGGGGGCCTCGCAGGCCAGTGTGGGGCCTTCACCTACCCAGCTCCCTGCTCGGACTGTGTGACACACATCCCTGGCCCACAAGCTCAGGAGAAAAGTGACATAATCGACTTTTTAATTATATATTTTATCTGTACTGCTAGATAGTAGCTAAGGGCAGGCCCTGCAACCTAGTAACCTGGACTGAATCCCAGACCTGCTTCTTAGAGTGTGCAAGATATTGGGTTCATTGTTTAATCATCCGGGCCTCCTTCCCCCAACTGTGAAAGCTGCAAGGTTACTGTGTGGCTTAGAGACAGCACGGAGGAAGCACCATGTGCTTGAGGGTTGAATGAAATAGCATCTATCCTACAGTCTGCACAGAATGTACTTCACTCATACTTCTTAAAGGAATCCACCCGCTTGCTTATTGCTCATAACTATAGGATTGGACATTAAATAGTGCCTGTCCTATAGCCTGCACAGAATGTACCTCACTCATATTTCTTGAAGGAATCCACCCGCTTGCTTATTGCTCATAACCATCTAGACACAAGTTCAGTAAGGAATGCATGACCTCTTCCCTACAGCACCAGATTGCCTTCCGAAGATATCTGCGGCAAGCAAACCCCACACCCTCTAGCCAAGCAAGACTGGGACTCAGATCTCTAATAGGCCCCAAGCTAAGGACCCCTGTGGCCTCTCCACGGTGGCATCACTCCCTGAGGACCACACCCAAGCTGTGGTCTCCAAGCTCTTATCACTCAGGTTCTCATGAGAATAAAGCATAAAGAAGAATAGAGACAGCCTACCTCCATCAGACACCTACAACAGCGTGGGGTAAGCAACTGGCCAGACCTCTGCTCCACAGAGATCTGGGAGGGAAGGGCCTGCTGTCAGGACATGAGGGCTACTGCATGTGACATTGATTAACATTCTTCCAGCTCCTCAGCTGACCACAGACAAGAGGCCCTCTCCTCAGCAGCTACCACCTAAACAAGCAAAACGAACTGGAAAGTTCTCTAGATTAGCCCTATCTTACTTCAGACTGGAAACAAGGAAAAGCAAAATCTTTGGTTTGTCCTTGTTACCAGGGACATATTGGACCTTGACCCTGGTAGAGACCACATGAGTGCTGCAATCTGCACCCAGCTGTCCTGGCTCTGGAACACTAGAGAATGACCACACAATCACCACCTCCTTTGGACAATTCAAAGCCCAGCACACTACAATTTAGGAAGAATGGATCTCAAGCTATGCTGGATGGAACATTGGCTCTAAAAGAGTTTGAATGCATATGTCTGTGTGTGTGTGTACCTATTAATCTCTGTGTGCACACCTATTAGACTCTGTGTGTATACCTATTAATTTCTGTGTGTGTACACCTATTAGACTCTATGTGTGTACCAATTAATTCTGTGTGGGCACACTTATTAATCTGTGTATGCACACCTATTAGACTCTGTGTGAATATCTATTAATCTCTGTGTATGTACCTATTGACTCTGTGTGTGCACACCTATTAGACTCCTTTCCACCTGAGTCCTATTTTAAAATAAAAGAACTACAGGGAAAGACAGTGGTCACACCTTTTCTTCTAGATGCTCTCTGACTATGGCTTAAATATATCCTCCCTAAAAAATTCATAGACAGGAAAAGTAATCCCAAATCCAAGTGTGAATGGTATTTGGAGGTGAGATGTTTAAGAGATAATTAACATTAGATAAAGTCATCAAGGTGGTGTTCCCAACATGATGCATTTTATAAGAAAAAGAATGACCTAAGCGAGCATGCTTGTTCTATCTGATCATGTGATACCCCCCATAATGTTATCATGCAGCAAAAAGATGCCAGGAAGCCAAAAAAGCCTCCTATGCATCATAACTTATCCAATCTGTGCCATTCAGTGATAGCAACAGAAAGCAATATAAGCCATCATTCTTAGTATATTAGGGATGGAAGGGGAGCTAGGTAGGGTGAATGCCTTTAAAGAATGCTGGAAGGAAAAAAAAAGTCAGGGCAACAAATTTATCAACAATTTTGTGTAGAGGAAGCTCTCTTGTGTACCTAAAGATCCCAAAAATGGATAAAGGATCTTTGACATTTTTTTATAATTATTAAATAATTTAGTCCAAATACAGGCATTAAAAATTCACTATGATGAAATTTCCAATACAGAAGAAAAAAAAAAATTTCTGTTGAGTTCCTGGATAGCAATATCAGAAAAGTCTTTAATTATAAAATCCAACCACTCATTCTAAACGGTAACTGTCACACGATAAAGATGCAACCTTAACACTGGAAAGAAGCTATTGGTTAATGAACTGCAAACCAGAGGCAGTATTCAAACCAAACTCTACCACTCACATCTGGAATCTCATGGGTGAACCAAAAGTGAACACTCAGAAGCGTAGAAGCCAAGGCTACCTTTTGGCCTCTGCTCCTTCATTCTTAGTTATCTGCCCCTGAGCAAGCTGACTCACTTTTGCCTGTGACCTCACCTCTTGGACTAGACCAGTGGTTTCCAAGCCATGTTCCCACCTTGAATTTCAGGAGTAAATCTGAAAGGCCTGGCTAACACGACTCTTACATACACACGGTGGAAGCAGACCTTACCGGTTATTCTGCCCACTGTCCCTTTCACAAAGTTGCCAACGTATCCAGCCACGTGTGCTCCAAGGCTGTAGCCAATCAAGTGAACGTTCCCAAGAGAAAACTCTTCCTTCTCCTGCAACAAGTCATCAAAGAATGTGAGTCGAAGAGTGCAGTGCTGAGTCTCCAGGGCCACCAACAATTCAACGTGTCCATCGTAAGAGAAGGGCCACAGGGGTCACAGACATAGACTCTTTGTAGCATCCCCAGGGTTACTGACATGCAATATGGATGGAGGGAGTTCTCAAGGACTTGGTGGCATTTGAATGCCAAGAGAGTAGTGGGGGAGACAGGACTGCAGGAGGCATGCCTAAGCTTTCCCCTGCAAGCTCTCCTACAAGGTTTCCTTTCTTTGGGGCAGTATTCAGAGGACACAGATGAATCAATGTAGAGGTCAAAAGACACCGTACCGTCAGCAGACCAAAGTGCCAGCCATGACCACAGTGACCTGCTCCCTGCCGGTCTTTGACCTCTACTGTAACCCCAGAAGCTTCTGACTCCTCACCTTAAGCAACCTGTGCTCCCACGGTTGGAGCAGTGTCCCCTTCCAGAGTACTCAGCTGGCACGGGGAGGAGGGGTGCTGAGGTGGGGCTTTGACCCTTAGCTCAGTAAACACAAGAAAATCTTGCCCAGGATTCTGCCAGGAGTCAGAAGATGCCCCGGTGAAAGGAAAGTCAGGCTGGAAATGCTCAACATCTAGAGTCACTTTGCCAGGAGACCCCTTGTCCTTCCTGCCTGTTAGGTCTACTCGGCTCAGGAAAATGGTTAACTTATAAAAAGTAAATCAAGACCTCAAGATCTGTTTTACACACACTGTTTTAAACAACGCAGTGGATGGTCTCTGTGAAGCAGCCTCCTTGCATGCCTACCCACAGCCACCCTCCAAAGGCAAGAGCAGCGGTCTGTGGCTCCTTCAGATGGAAAACCAGCCCTGGCTCCTGGCCCTTCTCATCTACCCTAAGGGCATCCGCTTCTAAGGTCGGGAACTAATCTCCCACAAGACAATTTTTCTTTTTACAGCAAATAAAGTAACAGAAAAATCCAGAGATCTATCAATCATTAAAAGGCTCTGAAACAGGCTTTGAAGTAGTTCATGCACTGCTTAAGTTTAGCAAAAATTGTAATGCTAGAGATTTTGATCATACTTGAAGTTCACAGTAACGACATGTGCTCTGCATTTCCTAAGAAAATGCAAGCTTACCTTCAGAAATGAAATGGGGAAAGAAAACCTAATGAAAGGAGGCTCCCTTTCGTCTCTGCTTACCTGCAACCAGTTAAGCATCCCAGCCACTCTTTGTCCCACCATGCTGATGTGACTGACAGCATCTATGTACAGCTGGTGAGCCAGGGGCAACCAATCAACCACCACCACATTAGCATCTTTCTCTCTTGTCTGCAGGGCTGACACAAGATTATACAGCCATTTTTCCCACATACCACTCATCTGCAAAGAAAACGGGAAGATTATTTTTCTTTGAATGCTCCTTCTGGACCTCATCTGACCGGTCCTTCACAGTGGCTGCTAAGGAAATGTAGACTCTCCTGTGCGCAAGTCAGCCAAAGGCAGAAAGGCTTAATGCTTTCTTTCCCTGGGGTTCTTCACGTCTCCAGTGCCCCATCAAATTTTTCACAGCTCGTGTGTTATGCTACATTACCCTACTGTCTATTACATGGGTATTGGTGGCAACAATGGCCTGAGGTTAGTCTGAATCCCTGTCACAGCCAGCAAGTGGCCTGGTCCATCCTTCAAGGAGTTAGAGAAGGTTGCCTTGGAGAATTAGCTCCTCCCTTAGAAACACACTGTCACTTAGGCAGACACCAAGTTAACAAATGACCGCTTCCCACAACCCATCCCTGCCATCCTCTTGACCCCAGCGTAAGAAAAATCCACCCCTGGAATCCCAAATTAGAACTCAGAACACATTTTCCCACAGAAACAACATTATACATGGTAACTAGAAGCGGTTGTAAACCTATCCACACGTACATTATCAAATAAATAGATTTCTGTGCTTAGCCTGGGAACCCAAACACTATTTACAACTTGCTTCTATGGGAAACCACCATTCCAAGTTCCAAACACATTACAAAAGAACTTTCTGGAATGCTCCCCATTTGTAAGCTTGCAAGCAGTTAGTATTTGCATTTTGACAGGAGGACCCTGGAGAAATTCAAATGTGCAATTCCGCTTGTGTCCTGGGGGATGAAGACAGACAGACAGGCCCTCAGTCATCCCTTCATTCACAATAGGAAGGTAGACTCCAACCTTCCCAACTCCCAAGCCCGACCCCAGCTGTTGACGGTAGATCTAAAGACCCAGCAAGAATGTAACGGATATGAATTTCTCATCATTAAGAGGAAGAACGTCCCCTCCCAATTAGTCAGGCAGAAACCTGCTCACTTAATAGTGCCATTTTCCTACAGACTGTCATTCTGTGAATGAACAAATCCCTTGCTGGCCAAGAGTTTCTGAAGCTGAGTGTTAAAGCCCTTTTTTGTTGAAGTTTGTCATGGGCCTTTCAATGGAAATTGCTCAGCTAGGGCACATAAAGAGCCCCAGTGCCTTTAAACGGGGCCATCTCTATGCAAACAGGAGGGCAGCATGCCAATAGAACCCAGCCAGCCGGGCCAGCTGGCCCCTCAGATTCTCCCAGCCTGTTAGGTTGCTTCAGCTCAGCTCTGCTCTTAGAGCAGGATGGGCCCCCTCCAGGCAGTGGTTGGCCAATGTAATTAAGTATAATTAGAGCTCCTTCAGAGCTAAGGGAGTTGGGCTGCCGGCCTCAGGAGAACCACTTTCTGAAAGCCCATTGCGTGCCAGCACTAAATGCCACCCTGCTGAGTCCGGATTGCCCCCTCTGAGAAGCGCCCATTACATTCTTCACAGCTGTCTGAAATACAAGCAGCCCACAAGGAAAGGCGGGAGAGAGAGGGTTTGGAATCTGGAAGCACCACTATTCTTTTTAATTGACCAAAACAAAAGGAATCAAATCTTATAAAAAGCAGCAGAGCCCCCTCCTGGGCTCACCGTCCATCCATGAATGACGAAAAAGGTTTTGGCTGTCATGTTGAAGCCACAGTCTTCCAAGAGTTGGTTGTCACCAAGGGAGATATGGCACCCTTCATGTTCTGGGTCCTTAGAAGTGCGGACGTTAAAAGCCACAGAGGGTTTGACAGTAGCTGGTACTCCAGTGGGTTTATATTCATCTGGGGAGGAAGAACAGCATAAATACTCCCGGTGGCTGGGGAAGTGACTTCTAGTTCAATCTTGAGCAAATTACTTGTCATTTGGGTTTTAGGTTTTTACAACTACTGAGTGTTTCCTCTTCGCCTTCTTAGGCAGCAGTTCTCAATCTGTGGGTCAGATATTTACATTACGATTCATAACAGTAGCAAAATTACAGTATGAAGCAGCAATGAAAAGAACTGAAGTTACTGTAAATCCGATCTCTCAACTATCCTCGGTGAGTATTAATTAGTCATTTGAACTAAATTCTGTTGCTCAGAAATAAGTAGCTATCTTTCCTACTTTATTTTTCCCTGCCAAACTGATTTTCCCTTTCTTTCTTCTCTCCCTCAAATCCCTACCTTTGGAGTGTGGGTTCTCTTTTCATGGAACACTTAAGACTAGTTAAGCCAAGAATTTAGGAATTTTCATATGTAAAAAAAAAATCTTTATGGCAAGGCTGTAATACCAGCACTCTTGAGGCAGAGCTAGATAGAGGGAAGATGATGTAAATTCTAGGCTAGCATGGGCTAGAGAGAGAGTTCCAGGTAAGTCTGAGTTCATGCGCGCTCTCTCTCTCTCTCTCTCTCTCTCTCTCTCTCTCTCTCTCTCTCTCTCTCTCTCTCTCTCTCTCTCTCTCCCCGTCTCTCTGTCTCTCTCTCTCTCTCTGTCTCTCTGTCTCTCTTTCTCTCTCTCACAGGCCTGGTGGCTCACACCTATACCCTACAATCCCAGCACCTGAGAGGCTGAAACAAGAGAACTACTACCAAGTTTGAGACCAGCATGGGTGACATAGTGAATTCCAAGCCAACCTGGGCTTTATAGCAAGGCTGGGGGATGGGCAGGCGGTGACAGAGAGAGACAGTGACATCAGAGGGAGAAGGCAAGCATTGTGGAACATGCCACATATTACAAGACAGCCCCAGTAGAGTCTGGGGTATCCCCCCTGGGTCAAAGGCACTAATATCTCTGCAGAGAAACATAGGGCAACTCACGTTCTACAGAGAAAAAAAAATGCAGATATTACAAATAGCTTTCTACCAGGGTTGGCCACCAGATGAGTTGAGAGCATGTAAGGTCAGGTTCCTCCCATACAGCCTCCCAGCAAACTTCGAAGTTTTGAGATTTTGCAATTCGAGGTAAAAGGGTATTGACCCACTGTACAAGCCGCTTTCCCTGGCATTCCCATTTTGATCCAATGCTTACTTCAAAGACCTTAGACAGTCCCAGGGCTCTTTGCAACAGGCACCAGTTTGTTATTCAAATAGCTGAAGCCATGGGAAAATTCCTCACAACAGCAAAGCTGCCCCTTCCAGTTCCCTGTTACATACAGTGCGACCTTTTCTTGCCCCTGGGACATAGCCCTAATGGCACTATGGCCATGTGACCCCAGGTAGGCCCTGTCATTTAAGATAATCTCTAACTGATCCCCACTGTCTCTCATCCAATCATCCTAGTAAGCCTCTCTTGATAACGGATTAGGGGAAAGAGTGTACTCTCCTGTTACCCAGAAGTCACAGGGAGATACCAAATGAACATCCAGGAGCTTTATTTACCCAAGAGTTCAGAACAGAAGGAAAAGCCAGTTCTGGTGGGCACAAGGCTGTAATCCTAGCTACCGTGAAGACTGAGGGCAGGAAGATTGAAGATAGGTGCTACGTCTGCCTGAGCTACAGAATGAACTGAAGGCAAGTCTGAGTAACTTAGCTCGTCCTGGTTTCAAAGTTTTAAATACTAGTAAGTAATAATAGTTGTAAGGGGCTAGGGACGTCACTCTATAGTAGAGTGCTTTGAGTACACACTTAAAGCCACAGATTTAATCTCCAGTTTTGAAAAGACACACGAGGGAGCTAGGAAGTAGCTCCGTCAGTTGAGTGCTTGCCTAGCATGCACAAAACACGGAGTTTGATCCCCAGTACCCTGTAAACCAGCTGTGGTGACCCATGCTTATTCAAGGTCAACCTCAGCTGCAGAGTGAGTTTGAACCCAGTCAGGGCTACATGAGACACTGCCCCCCTCCTCCCCCCCCCAAAAAAAAAAGGAGGAAAAGGGAGAATTGGACAGAGAAACCACAGCTATGGAGAGGGTGGTGATGAGATGGGACAAGCAGATACAGGGGGCTGGGGACATATGCCAGATGTAAGAGGGATAAAATCCAGAAAAAGGCCCCCAAAGACACATGATCAGAACACAGATTAGCTGTCATGAAATTAAATCCCTAACTGGCAGAAATTTGAGGTACAGACATTACCAGTTCAGTTCTCCAACCTGGACAGCCATTCTCACGGAGAGCAGATGGGGTGGGTTAGGAGAAAAGGCAGCTCTTAGCCTCCTAAGAGGGAGCCGAGGCTAAATTCACACATAGACAAGGAGGGCCACCCTGGCATCTGGCTTGCTCTGATCCCGCGGCTTGGTTCCTACTGTTTAAGGACAGGGTCACTTTGGCTTCTGGGCCTTTGTGATTGTTTTTCGCCCAGATGTCTTTGTGGTTCATTGTCTCAGCTCCTTGCTGAGGGGTCAAGTTCTAGAATAAGGTTCTCCCAGACCACAAATTAAAAGGTACCGCCCTCAGCAGCGCTTCAAGACTCCCTCCTCAGCTTCACTTTCCTGCCTCGTTCTGAGTACCATTTACATACTTTTATTAGTTCCCACTGCTGAGATTAGGTCCTGCAAGGTTAAGGACTGCCATCTAGTCTCTTCCTCGCAGTCTTTCCCCACTATCGAGAGTCCCTGGTACTAGAATGCAGCAGTACTTTTCAAATGAATGGCACCACCACCTAAATAACCAGAACCACAGACACGTTAGCATTCTTCAGGAAAAGATGCCACATACCCCAAGTCTCGCTTCTAGCTAACACTCAAGTTGGAAACAAGCCAGGAGAAGGTAGGTTTTTCCCGTTCCTTCCAACTTAAGCTCCCACGTGCCCATAAACTAACATGGGCTCGTAGCTTCTGGCGCGCTGTTCTGCAGACTAAATGAAATGATAGACCTTGGTTTAAGTGCTCTGGGGCCCTCCACTGCTTAACCAGCCCATGCTGGCTCTGGATGACCCCACCCTCACTCCACCAAGGGCAGATTGCCTCCAGTGAAAGTGTCAGAACCAAAGAAGAGGAAAAAGGATGCTAGAAGGAAGGGGGAGAATGGAGGAATGGGCAGAGGAGGGAAGATTGTTTGGGGAGAAAGTTACAAGCCAGATGTCCCCTAACGCACTTATCCATCCGAAGCCCGCCACGCCGCCGCCACCTTAACTTCCAAAACACCTAAGCGTTAATGAAGGGGGGAGCGGGGGGGGGGGGGGAGGCACCGGAAGTTAGAGCTCGAAGAATTTTCTGGCCTCTCCAGCCTCCAAAGATAAGACAAGGTTTAAAACGTGGTATAATTTAAGCGAGACTGGAAGGCAGCTAGCTCGGCTAGCCGGACAGCGCTGATTAATGGAAGTGGGAGGAAGCAAGAGAAAGGATTCTAGCCCACGCACCCTCCCTGCTCGCAGGCGGCCTCCAGGATGGCTTGCTAGCGGGTGCTCTCGTCCGAAGCGCCAAGACAAGTGGCTTCCGACACCGAGGAGAACACAGCGCAGTGGGAAAGGGTTTCGTTGGGACATGGAAGCCCTGAAGAAGGGTCCGCAGGACTTGCGAGGGCGCAGCGCAGGAAAGAAGTGGGGAGAAGAGTAGGAAAAAATAAATGCACATTACCTCGCAGCGACCCCTGGGGACGTAAGTTTTCGAGACTTCCCGCCGCGAAGCAACAATAGACGCTCCAGAAGTAGAGCAGGAGAACCCGGTTTCGCATCCTTCTCTGCCACGCCCCCTCCTCTCAAACAGGTTTTTTTGTTTTTCTTTTTAAGCCACTAAAGCCCCCCGAGCCTAGAAATGGGCAGCCTGGTCTCGGCAAGAAAGTGATGGGCTGGACAGCTGGAGGAGAACCTGGTAGGTTGGTAGCGCGGCGCGCGGCGAGGGGGAAAAGAAGCCGGTGGAAGGACACGCTGCCCAGCCCGACCGGTCCTCTCCCGGAGCCTCGGTGAAGCCGGGGCTCGCCGCTGTCACACTGCGAGCTCCAGGAGAGGTACTTTTTTAAAGTATTCGAGTCATCTGACCCATCGCCAGATGGTTATTTGCATAATTTATTCCCGTCTCGGAATGCTGATTGGTTATACCTCTGACGCCAAACCCAGAACTCCCCAAAGTTTGAATGAAAGGGCCACACACCCACCACGTGGACGCCCGCAGGGATGGACTAGTACACCGCTGGCTGGGTCCACCGGCTGCTGCTACTCTAGCCACCCCTGCTTCCTCCCCTATTCCTGGACCCCCAGATCCTCCGCCTGCCCGCAGTATCCCACAAAGGAACACTTCCCACCACCACCACCCCGAAATGATGTTCCCCCTGGAGAAGAGATCTCTGGAGACAGGAGGTCAATTCTCTTCAAGGTGGGAAGCCAGCCAGCGCTGGGATGGTCTCTCCGCAGCCGGGGGCCGAGGGTCGGGATGGGGAAAAGCCACATGGTCGTTTGTTCCATCTCTCTGTCTCCTGCAGCTTTGCCCCCAGGTGCAATCAGCGCGATGGACAAAAGCTGGTCAGATCCAGGGGCTGGGCCCTGGGGCCTGCTCTTTAGGGTTACACAAACCCCACTTCAAAGACCTCATTTCATTATTAGCTGCGACACTCCGGACAAGTCGCCCAACTTCTTCAAGGCCGTTTCCTCGCCCGAAAGTAAGGGGATAGCAGTTCCTGGGGCTTGGGGGATCGTGGAGAAATTAACTCGCTCGCCGAGGAAAGCGCTCAGTTCGGGTAGGTGCTCTCCTGTCACTGGAGAGTAGGAATGGAGCCCTACCAGCCACCCTTCCCGAAGGGAAAGTGAGCCCAGGGAAGATCTAAGACATGTGGCCCAACCTCTGCCACGCGCCCAACTTCCCAGTGAGTGGAATTCAACACCCCCCTCCCTTTTCTCCATCCTTTTCTCCCTCTTTAATCTGGATCTCCTGGCTGTGAGCTGCACGCAGATGAAACTGTGGTCCGGAGTCCGCAGTTCCAGAGGACCCGAGTTCCTGAATCCCGGGAGGTGGCAGAACCGCTGCACCTCCCAACCAGTGGAGACCCTGAGCGCAAAGCAGACTGGAACCTGCCGACTCAGGGCTGAGCGTCCCCATCCAGCCTCCTTCAGTTAGGGAAAACGGCTCTGCTGGCCGCACCTGGAACCCCAGCAGCAGCCCCCGGCCCTTTCTCCCCTAGATAAGCGCTCCAGCTGCAGGGGCCGGTGTGAGGAAATCGAGCCCTAGCGAGTAGGTCCTGTTCTGTGACTCTGGCTGTCACACTTGACAGCACACATGAGCACACTTTCTCGCTCATGTGTGCTGTCACCAATGAACAAGAGGTAGATTGGCTTTATCTTTTGAGTATAAAACTCGGTGCAATCTAAGGGATGGTTAATGTCACCCTCCCGGCCCCTCCCACTGGCCCTTTTCCTTGGCAAACAGAAAGGGCATGCCACGTACCACCTGCCCTTAACAGACAGAAACAGGCACCGGACTGGGTGCGTCTGTGAAGGACGCCTCAGTCTCTCTCTACTGCCCTGGGTTGGCCTTGGCATATTGTCCTCTAGATATGAGTCTTGGCAAGCTCTACTAGCTAATTTTTTTATACCTAACATCAGGGGCTAGCCTGTGATAAGTAAATACTTAAAAAAAATAAAATAAAGTCTCCCCTAGCTGAGGACAATCAAGCATAGAGTGCATAAGTGCTGGAGTTCCCGAAGCCTTCTCCCAAGGCTCCGGTTCTCTTACGTTTTTGTTTTTTTGTTTTTTGGGTTTTTTTATTGCCCTTGTCCCAATAACATTAACTGAACAATATGCAGGGGGTGTCTTGGGGACCTTTGTCACAAGTGAGACAACCTAGGATAAGTAAGTATTCCTGCTTATCCTGCCTGGTGAAACAAATAAACAAACAAAAAAAAAGGCTCAACAAAATCAACATCGGTTTTTTTAACAGACAAGGAATTCAAGTTTCCTTGCTAGTTAGTTAGAGCGCCCTCCTGTGTCTCCATATTAAAACACAATGTGAAAAGTTTCAATGCACCTTAAAAGGTTACGGTCTTAGCATTACAATGCAGAGTATCAGTTGCCATTCTTCGGTAGAAACTTCTGTTGGGCTGCAGCCAAGACTGCAAGGGCTACCAGGGTAAAGGACTCTACCCATTCACTAGGGGCAGCCAGCATCTGTGTTAGAGGAGATAGATCCCCTCATGCTAAGAGCCCAGTTTCCAAAGCAAGCATTTAACCCCAAAGCATTTAACCTCGCTTGCATGGGTCCACAATTCAACGTCAATATAGACTAAACTGGAAGCTAATGAGGCTCATATCATTCCACCGAGCCGGAAAGGGGCAGCTCTACTTATCTGGTGTAGCGGTGGAGTGTCCACTAGTGTACACAGCGGCTTGGATGTGCCACCTTCTTCAGAGTCCTTCTACTTGGGTGGATCTGCTCAGCAGATTCCAGCTGCTACTCGATGCTCCAGTAATGAGTTCTTTCACATAAATTATCCAGGGCTGTTTATATTACTCACAATTAAGAAAATGACTTACTCCTCTGGTGTTTATGGAACAGCTACTAAAAGAAAACACAGGACTGAGGGACTCAGAATGTTCCAGAGGCCATCCTTCCCTCCCAGAGCCACAGTGCGGATATGTAGGTATTCCCAGAAACCTAGATTATAGCTGTATTAGTGAGCTCAGGCACAGACACAGTGCTTTAAACAGCTGTTTATGTTTGCAGTTCTGGAAACTGCAAGTCCAGGATCAGTGTAGAAACATTATCCAGTTCTAGTGAAAGTCCTTTAGAGCTTCTAGGTGACTGCCCTCACTGTGGTCTCACATGGTATAGAGTGTTAGTGTCTCGTCTGACAACAGCCCCAATCCCATGGTGGGTCCTACCCTCAAGACGTCACCTAAACATAACTACTTCCCAAAGGTCCCATCCCCTAAAGCCATCACACTGGGGCTTCAGTCCATGAATTTGGAGGGGACATGATTTAGTCCAAAGTGTCGTGTATGTAATCTTACATTTACTTTCTAGCAGCCATACTATAAAGGTAAAAAAGAAACACATCACATTCATTTTAGCAATGTATTTTATGCCGATACACTCAAGATACTATTTTAAAATTGTTTCAAGGGCTGGAGAGGTAGTTCAGTCAGCAAATGCCTGCCATGCCAGTATGGGAACACGAGTTCAATCCCCAGCATCCTCTTAAAAGTTAGATCCTGCAGCGAACCATGTGATCCCAGTACAGGAGACTCTCTGGGACTCGCTATCCAGTCAAATCAGCAAGCTCTAAGTTCAGCGAGAAACTCTTGTCTCACAATATAAAGTGGAGAACAACAGAGGAAGAAACCAGATGTTGGCTTCTGATCCCCCCCCCCACACACACACACACACACACAAATTATTTCAACATGGCGCCAATATGAAAATCATTAATGGAACATTTAAAACTCTTGTTTCGAGATCCAGCCTAGCCACACTTCAAGTGTTCGACAATTAATGGCTACCACATTAGACAGCATAACTCTATGGTATCAAAACTCAATCCAATCTGAGAGACTTGCCATTTCCCTTTACAGATGATGAAATGGAGACCCAGCCAGATTAACTGGTTGAAAAGGCAGAGAGGGATCTAAGCATGGGAATCCCTGTACTTGGAAAGCTGAGGCAGGAGGAGCCTTGGCTCAGGGCCAGCCTGGAATACACAGTGAATTCCAAAGCAGCCTGCGCTCCGTGGGGCGACACTGTCTTACGAAAGTGAAAAGGAAAAGAAAGAAAGGGTAATAGTGGGCTCGGACAACCAGACTTGGTAGAAAACCCAGAATAAAGCTGCACCGTTGGCTCATAAAAAGAAGAAAACTCACAAATATGACTCCATCAAATATTAAACACTTGGCGTTGTGCTAGATGCTACAGGAAACTCAAATGAGGTGAAAATATACTCCACGACTTCGAAGTTCAGAGAAGAGAAAAAACACATGTAAATGGGGCTGGTAGGAAAGCCTACGGATAAAGCTAAGACTCAGAGTGACCTTGATAGATAGGCTGTGTGCCCCAACCCCGGGCTCTGAGATCTCCCTGCATTATTTATTGCCTGCAGAATTAGGAATGCCAGTGTCAGAGCTAGGTCAAGAGAGTGGCATCTGAGTAATAAACAGCTTGACACTCCCTTCCACAAAGGAAAAGGCTAGAAGCTTCCAACTCCTGAAGTTTCCATCAGCAACAACACTTCGTATATGGGGTGAACTGGTTCAAGGTGGTCCAGTGCGTGGCCCCAGGTGTTTACCTGGAATAAATGTGGAAAAACTGAGTCAAGCAAGCTGACTCTGGCTCTTTTTACTGCAGTATTTCTCAGGGGGGGCGTTAATATGCTTGCAGTTACCCTACGATTTTAGCTTTGAGATCAGGATTCTTAGTGTGGCCCACAACCCCCGAATGAAAGGCCTCCGGGGTGGCATCATCTCATCTCGTATCACACCCCTCTTTTCTCTGCTTCTCGTCACTTGGCCTTCCCAGTTCCTCTGGGTCTATCCAGGTCAGGGCTAGCACTCTGGTCCATGGAACTTACCTCAGTTTGTAACTATGCATCATCTGTTTGGCTCTTTGAGGGATGTCCGTCCCCCTCCTAGGAGAAGTTCCATGAAAGCAGCAGTTGGGTTTGGTTCTGCTGATTATTTCCACAGACCCCAACACAAAGCCTGACACACAGAAAGAGCTCATTTAATATGCGTTGAATGACTCTGCAAATGCAATATATTGTGAGTCTCCGAGACTGGGAGAGATCATTCAGCCCTTGCTAAATTGTTCTGAGCAC